TTATTTACATTGGCTGTCCAATTCCCTATAAAGAAAATTCTAAAGTAGGGCTGCAACCAACAAATCGATTCACTCTCTGGCTTAAGCGATTCCAGTGCCATGTGCTTACAACACAATTATTTAAAAAACAAAATGTGAGGAAAAAAAAAGTCCTTTTCGGTTTTGGCCTGACAAATTCTGCTGTGGGAGGTGCATTGCAGTGCCATTCATTTCAACGGCACCCCAAACGCGCCTCCCACCCACAGTGTGATCGCCTGCACTGGAGCACATGGTACAGCAATGTCGTGCATTCCAGTGCAGTGCAATTGCAAACAAATTTGCATGCAGTTTTATGCTAAGGTAAACTTTGTTTGAAACACTATGTTTGTGTATTTAATTTTAAATTAAGGATGGTAATTTTTTTTTTTTTCGATCGAAAAAATAAATCTGCCAACTAATTGATTATGAAAATAATCATTAGTTGCAGCCCTAATTCTAAGAAGACATTATATTGTCCTCCAGCTACCCAGAGGTCACATATTACTGTTTGGAAAGCCAGACAATGTGTGTGTAACTAGCATTTTGAGGGGGGGGACAGACGGACATATCTGGCTCACTAATTTACGCTGTTCTAAGACCACAAAAGGGAAACGACCTGGGCTTTGAGGGCTCAATGCATGGCTTGTTCCCATTGTGCATGTGAGAACATACGGTAAAACCGATGTCACCAGCTCACCAGAAGAACTTGCAGGAAAAATGTGGATGGAGAAGTGTCAGGGTTTCCCAAATGTCCTATTGCAGTGACGAAGGGGTCATTATGTGGCTCTAAAATGTTGTATTCCCTTCGTACAAAATGAATGTTCTTCCTACGATTTGCTTTAGAGTGCTGGAGATACCGCTATGTTTTGGTTTTAATGCACTGAGGACCCATTTAAAATGAATGAGTAGCCTTAATGCAACATTAACATGCACACATTATGAAGTGAACGAGCCCTTGCCAGCAGGAAGTCAGCCGTGCACTGGAAAAAGCCCTACCCCACCCCACCCCATATAATCCATCCACCCTTGTAAAAGTTTAACTTTTAAAACCGACAAACATATTTGCAAAGATTGTTATTAGTTGCATTATATAAACCAGCTCATAATTTAAGGTTTTACAGACCGGACCAGAAAGGATATAAACACAACCTACATGACATAATACCTTTTATTAGCTATAAATAAACTTGAAATAAATATTAGGAGCTTGTTTAAACATCATGAATCATTCCACCTATAGAACATGCTTATGTGTGGACGCAAAAGTGGGAGACGTTTTCAATCCTGTTTACTCAAATTCCACTGCACATCTAAAGCACAGCATGAAGATAATAAAGCTTAAATTTTATTGCATACACCAGCGTACAATCTATGTCACAAACTTAGATGTAAAATGCAATTTGCAGGGTTGCTATGAGCAATATATTCCCAAATGAGACCTGGGGACTATTAAAACTCTGCTTCATAAGCTTTAGCACCTGAATTGCTCACTGTAATTGGAGCAACGAAACTCACAATCGCACGGCTCTCATGCAATGGGCTCAGCAAAATCAATTTAGCTCCATAGGGGTTTTTCTGTGGAAACCAATCAACGCTCACTTCAAAAATCACAAAAAGCATTTAAGCCCAAGTCCATCTAACACTTTGTGTTGTTGTTTTAGACAGTATGGAGAAGGTTTGGTCAGGTTTTTATTGCCATCTGAATTCCCCTTAATTCATGATGTGCCACCAGCACAGTCAATGTAGTGAAATCTCTCCAAACAGCATATGATTTTTTTTTTTTATTTAAAAGGGGGACAGGTTAGAACCCAGCCACAATAACAACCAGACAATGGATCTAATGCGGGAGTTTTCCAAGATATAGAGACCTTGTCACCAAACCATGTCCAACCAGATAAACATACTGAGTAAAGGTACCAACATACCCATAAATCAGGCTGGTTGTAGTCTCAATTTTTCTTTCCTAGAGTGCATGAAAGACTTTATATTTTCAAGCATCTCAAGGAAGGTCAGAGGCTGTGACATACCCAGCTTTTCCCTCTCCTCATACCAGAGGTCCATCAAAGTCCAGGCAGCAGTCAGAGAGCATTGCATGACATGCAAAGGCTGTCAATGCCGATCACAGGAGAATTTGCCGGCTACTGCCAGGACCTCGACTGAAGTCAGGGCCAGGAGGGGAAGCAGCTGGGTCTCTGTGGACAGTATAGCCTCAGACACACTCGAAGTGTCGGAGATACTTAAAAATATAAAGTCAATTACTAGCATGACAAGAGAGCAGGACAAAGATAAAATACAGCCTGCCTTGTGTCTATAAGTACACTTACTTCCTATATTTATATGGGTATGAATGAGGTGGTGAAAGGGCTTCTTTAAAATCAGACTAGGAAAACCTTGTTTGTTTATTACCCATTTTTAATCCCAGATAAGTCAGCAGCAGAAGTATATGCAGCATGCATGCCCTGCCTCTCATCAAAGCCTTAGCTTGGTCACATGAGGTGATTATTCAGGTTTAGGGACTTTTTGGCTCACATAAATGCCTATAATGTCCTATAAACAACTTTTAGGATTTCCTTAGATCTGATCTGTTAGATCAGTAACAATGACCAGTTACTATGTAATGCAAGTGCCTTCTTAAACAAATGCTCCAACTGACACAGAGAGAAGACGGCAGACTACACAGTTACTGGTAAATTGCGCTGATCTAAAAGATCAAAATCTAAGAAAAAACAACTGGTGTGTGGAAAGCTTAATGATAAAATCAGCCACATTTATACTTTAGAAGCACATATCTGCAAGAATGTGCTCATAAACCACGGTGATAAACAACAGATATGGTAGGATATGACCCCTGACCACTTTTATGTAGCCAATGGTGCTGAAAGGGCAACCAGACTGAAGAATATAAACATCCATACAGTACACACAATACCCTGCTCCAGCCACATTTACGAGGCAGGTTTGCGAGGAAAGTAATGCTTTATTATAGAGATTGTTCAAACTATGCTATGTGCAGCCACATCTGTGCATACTTTGGGTGATTGAGTCATTTTCAGTGCTCTGTGTTTAGATTAAGTGAAGGGAAATATGAACGATTTATACCCAACACTATAGCTAAATAAACTGAAGCAATACCATGTGCTTCTTTAACTGCATTTATAACAAAGTGAACATGTCAGCCATTTTAAACCTTCAAGAGTAAAAGTCCTGTCCGAGAGAAAAAAGCTGCGCTAGCACATGCAGTTTGTTACCAGGGGAATTTTATGTTCCCTCCCTGGCTATTCATACATGTCTGCTGGAATCTACACTAGACGCATTGGTTCATGACTTCTACAACAGGGCCTGCAACATCCCAGGAGCCAACGAAAAAGAGAAAAAAAGCTTTAACATGCTAATGAAATCAAATGTTATTTTCATTTATATTAAAATGTGTAGCTTTTATTAAACCAACACCTGGTGATTCTGCCACGAAGGTCCCTGTTTGGGCATTCCCTGTTATAGGGTGACGATGCTCCCCATCTCCTAGTCTCCCAAGTTATCACCTTATCATAATCTCTACTGTTGTCACGATCAGGAAACCTGCCCTGAGAAATTATATGCAGCAGCTGCCAGAGCGCATGTAGACAGGAAGAGGCTGCAAATAGCCTACAAATGATCAGCAGCATAGAGGTCACAAAGGATGAACAAAAAAGTAAAAACTAGGGATGCACCGATATATCGGCCGCCGAATCATATCAGTCGAAAATGTCACTTTTGGCAAAATTTTTCTGCTGAAAAATGTCTCTCCTCCCCGCCGGGCGCTGCTCTGTGTCCCAGCAGGTAGGAGAGAAACTGTCACAGGAGGCCGAGCGCTGCGGGAGGAGAGCGATGTGAGCAGTCGGCGTCTCTCCTCCCACACTGCTCAGTCTCCTGACAGATTAGGAGAGCAGCCGTGTGGGCGGAGACAGTAAGTGAGGTCACAAGAGGCCGGGCGGCGGTGCGGGGGGAGGTGTAAGCTGTCAGATCAAGCTCTCCTCCCCGCACCGCTTGCTCAGCCTCCTGTGACAGCCAATCCAGGAAGGAAAGTGAGTACAAACACTCAGCAATCACTGTTTGCTGAGTGTTTGTAAATAATTGAGGACATAGTATGTATACCATGTTCCCAAATTATGAATGAATGGCAAGTGATCTACATCACCTCCTGTTCATTCATGATTGTGGATATGGTAAACATTCTATCTCCACATGTTATGAATGAACAGCAACACTCAGTATAGAGGATTCCTGTTCATTTATAACTGGGACTGCAGAAAATGAGATTGAGGACTCTGAATTCTCAAGTTCTTTTTCTATTTTAAAAGGGAAATATCTGGGGTCTGTTTAGACCCCTAATATTTCTCTAAGCCCCTAAAAGTAAAACATTAAAATTATTTAATAAAAGTAAATAAAAATATTTAAAAAAAATAAAAAGTTAATAAAAATTTCGGTGCACCTCTAGTAAAAACCTTATTTTATTTTCTTAAATGGCAATTGTTTATTAAACAACGTGCTTTAGCAACCATGCCATTCAGTTAGGGTTTACATCTACTGTAAGCTTGCACCTTTTTATATCTGAGCGTTCCCCCAGCTTGCTAAACTTGATGGAGCTGAACCGCCTCATTTCTCCTTAACAATATGTCCACACCTGCTTGCAGGATGTGATCATCTTGTTACAAGCCTAGAAGTGTTGGGATGAATTTAGCATTAAAAAAATATAATAAAACCCTTTGAATAATTTTTTTTTTTTTATTTCATTTTTACTAGCACGCTTGGCAATTTGTAAACATTTCCATAAAGCACTGCTTTAGAAATCCAATAAAGAGCTGTCATTACAAGCTGTGCAATTATGTTCTGTAGTGACTCACTAATGCCTTCGTATTCCTGAAGGTAGTATTTTCATTATAATACATACAACAAACAACTTTATTGCTACCATCCCCAGAGCGCACTCTGCAAAAGCCTCTTACCTCCTGGCTTGTACACCACGTCGTCTTCAGTGACGTAAGACGTGATCTCCCCATTTGTGGACCGTTCGTAACGGGACTTTTTCTTTGGCAGCTTTTTCTTGTTCTTGTTTTTGGAGGCCTCCTCTGCCGTCATGCCGCTGTTTTCATTGTCCTCGTCCTCACTGTGGTCGCTCTCGGCGTAGTTTTTGGCCCCGCCTTCCAGCGTGCAGCTCCGCCGTGGGCGAGAGTTCTCGCCGTCGCGGGTTTTATCTCGTTTTTCTCTCTCTCTGTCCCGGTCTCGATCCTTGTCTTTGTCTTTTTCTTTGTCGGCCGTCATGATTCGCCACGTGCCTTCTTCTGTCCTCTCACGGCTGGGCCTCCGTGAAAGGTAGACCGTGAGCCTGGGCTTCAGTCTTCTGAATGTATCACGCAGTTCCAGGAAAAATTGGACCACTCCAACAACCCCAGCGCTTCAGAAAACTCTGCACAAACAGAAGAGGAAAACAAGTCATAAATACCTTGTGAACAAGCCTTTAGCTTATAGCAACACGATATTACAAGGGAAATCGTCAGGTTGCAAGTGCTACATGATATCACTTTCTACATGTATCCTAGTCAATAGCCTTGACGCAACAGAGAAAATGCTTTTACTCCATCATTCTGCAACATTAAGGTCAGAAGGAAAAGTCAACCATGTTACCAGCTTATCGCAACAAAAGTATACATAATGTTTATTTTTAACTAAATACACGTTATCGAACCTGCCAAACATTCTAGGAACTGCTGTCATCCAGAAATTATGTAGTCCTTAAAAAGCCTCAAACTGCCGAGGATAAACATTAATTCAACCCACAAAATGCTCTTTTCCCTGGACAGAGATGATGGGACCACTAATTGGGAGAAAGTAAAAAAAATTGTGGTGATGAATGTTCACAAACTCCATTCTATCCGTCTGAGGGCTTCATTGGCTTACCTCTACACAGGCTATCCCCCTTCAGTCTATCATGAATGCTGCTGCTACACTCATCCACCTCACCAACCGCTCAGTCTCTGTCAATCCCTGCACTGGCTCCCATCCCGGCACTGGCTTCCAATAGCCCAAAGGATAAAATTCTAAATATTAACAACGACTTACAAAGCCATCCACAACTCTGCCCCCGGCTATATCTCAAACCTGGTCTTAAAGTATTACCCTAACCGTCCCCTCCGCTCTTCCAAAGACCTCCTGCTTTCCAGCTCCCTCGTCAACTCCTCCCATACTCGCCTCCAGGACTTCACTAGAGTCTCTCCCATCCTCTGGAACTCTTTACCCCAACTTGTCCGACTATCTCCCACTCTGACTCTTAAGACTCATCTCTTCAGGGAACCCTATCCCACCTCAACCTAACCACTCAACCATCATGTCCTCAAACAATTCTTCCCCACACAGCTACCTCCTCATGTATCACTTCACCCTCCCTTTTGGATTGTAAGCCCTCAGGGGCAGGGCCCTCCTTACCATCTTATCTTGAATTGTAATGTCTTCCTTATATTGTAAAGTGCTGCGCAAATTGTATATAAATCCTGTATAATAATAATAATAATACTGCAGCGGGTCATATTTATGGCCCTCCAGTTCAAGAAAATGTTTCTGTCATTCATTCCCCATATATAACTCAAGGAAAGGAAAAGTGGTCTTCCTTTATAAAATAGTCAGAGGAAGAGGCGATCAGCATTGCCCTTGACAGCCAGACCTTCCCTTTTATTCTTTCACAATGCTTAAGATGCTTCTTCCTTCAGACACAGATAAAACCCAGTGTGAAACTTACAATAACCAGGTGCTTATTCATTTTTAATCCGACCTCCATAATAGTGGGAAAATGGTCATGAACAAAATGCTCCCTAAAAGCAACTATTGCTATTCAAAAATATTGACATAGAAGCTCCCTGCAAAAGATGACTCTTTATGCTACCTCCAGCTTTATCTACAGTGCAATGTGTGGGATACCTGGCTCCCCACCATGCTAAGATCCCTCTGGCGGCTACTACACCATCACTGTATGCTGTAGTACCCTTGGAGCCAAGGATGGAAGAACACCACAGCAGGGGGCACAGGCATCAGACACGCTCAGAAAAGTCAGATACAGTGGAATAGGGATGTGCAGTCCATGCAAAACTGTCAGTGATATTTACATCCAGCCCCAATCAGCTGCAAACCAGGGCATTAGCCACCCTGTAGCTACATGTAACAAAGGGGCAGAGAATGCCCCGACCACAGCTGACTGGGCCGAGAGGGGGATGCGTCACTGACAGATTTGAGTGGACTTGGTGTGAGCCTGGATTGATCAGGTTTGGCCAAGGCCAAGCACATTGCTACTGATGATCCTGCTGGAGGCCATAGCTCTGCAAGACACCTAAATTAGGACGTACCGTCCACCAGAGGTAAATACTAAAAGTTTTCTTTTTTTTTTTTTTTTTGCAGGATGCTTCTTTTTCATTTTTGGGGGGGGGATAGTATCACTTGAAAGTAGTGTGTCTGAGATGACCACACTATGCAAAGCATGAATACTGCCAATCCATTTCACAATATTTATTGCTTAGTGACATCATGCAAGCATATTTATTCAGGCATCAAAAGACCATTACTTGGCTCAGAAATAGCAGCCAGAGGGGAAAAAAATGGAAAGATAATAAAAAGCAGTAATTCCCTAAAAAAGAAAAAAAAAAAAAAAAAGACAGCATCAAAGATATAACTGCCACTGTGTATTGGAACAGAGGAGAAAAAGTGTTCTTGTTGCCCAGGAACTATTCTTTGACGAGAAGAACAATGATTAGAGAAGCGCCTTCCAGGTCAAACATAAGCAATCAAAATCCGAACAGCTCACGGAGAATGAACTGTTTCCAGGTGATAGGGCTTTGATTGTAATGTAAACTAAGCAAAATGTCAATGGGCAGCCAACGGGCAGGCCCTTTCCTGACTACAAATTGTAACGCAAACATTTGCAATGATATTTTCACTTCAAATACAAAAACACAGCTTCCTCTCCTGCCTTCCTGTTGAAAGTCAATGAAGCTAAACAGACACGCAGACCTCCCTTATCTTGCCTGTGAAGCTTAGTGGGCTCTTTTTTTTTCCCTTTCCAAGACACATAGTCTTGGCATGTTTTGAAAATGATGAGCGGATCAGACAGACTGACAACCCGAACAATACATCTATTTATATTTCCTAACACCCCACAAGCTGGAGCGGCCCCAGCAGAGCCGCCGAGAGGAGCTGCAGGGCCTGTGATGGGAAAAGAGCACAATCATTAAGCAGACATAGGATCTAGTATTAAGCACCTTATTAGGATTAAACCTCCGTGATCCTAGAGGAAATGCTGTGTGAATTAATCCTTTATTGCTTTCACAGATTCATATCTCCAGCAGACCCTGAACACTTTGTCTCCCACAATGTCAGCCAACAGAGCCTGAACAGCCAATGGTGCCTGGGCCTGATTTCCCTTCCTATTGTCCTCATAGGGGAGATAAAATTGTTAACCGCTGTCATCTGCGCTGTGTGCCCTGCAATGTATCAACTCTCCTGCCAGCAAACAAAAACACTATGCAGGCAAAATACAGAGGAGGAGGAGAGGATGCCGTCAACCTTTTTCCCCATTACCAATGCCTTCAATATCAGTATAGCTTACTTATTCACAAAGCATTCAAGTTTTTTTTGTATACTTTATTAAAATGGATATTTACGTGCAGGACAACAATGGTATAAGACTGCAGAATTTAACATTACACTTGTAGGTGCAGGTTGTACTAGTGAAAAGTGAGGAAATACCAGGAGCGGCCTCCAGAATTTAGAAAATGTCTGGTTTTCCACAAAGATTTGTAAAGAGCTGCATTCCCTTAGTTGGCCATACACTACTGACTAGGCCAAGCACACAGCCACAGTAAGTAACAAGATTTACATGACTAATGAGCTTATTTGCAATTGGCATAGTTGCCCAAGCATGATTGCCACCCTCCACCTTCCTCACTGGCCTTGTGCTGGGCCCAAGCACGCTTATATCGTACAGACCACAGTGACACCCCCGTCCATGCTTTATAAGTGCTCAGTGATCCCTAGGAACTCAGTATTTGGGCACAGTTAACAATCACGCAGATGCATATCATGCTTAAGTGCAAATGAACCATTCTCATGCCTTCCGCTTCAAGTTTACCAAAGAATAGTGCGCTCAACTGTGCCCGAGCACAGTACAGTGTGACCACACTAGATGTACTAGACTTTTGGGGTCAAGCATGCTCAGGCACATAATGGATCTTGTAACTAAACCCTATGTAATGTCCTAGCCCGCATCTCAGTTCAGGAAGAAGGTGTCGACCCAGCATAGTACCTGAACAAAGGTGGCTCCATACTGCTGGAGAGAAAACCCAGATGGAGGCTTTGTCTGGAAGTGCTGTAACCTCTGAGGGCAGATTCACACCATTCTCCGGACAAGATCTGGTCCGGAAAATGGTGTGAACCTGCCCGCAGCTCCACTGCATTCCAGACCAGACAAAATGAGACATGCAGAATTTTTCTTGTCTGATTTGGAACGGACTGTGCTGGTGTGGACAGAGACCAGAATTAGCATAGGGATACATTAGGATGCATTTTGGTCAATCTGGTCTGGAGATGATATGGATGTGGTGTGAATGGGCCCTGAAAGATATAAATTGCCTGGAAGTGTTCCGCATACATTTTACTCAGCATGCACACAACATACCATAAAAATGCTATTCACTATGTACTTTAATAGAGAATATCCTATTCCCTAGGTAGGCGGATGCAACAAAAGACGCATAGGACAGTTTTTACCATGACATCTGCAGTACTAGACGGACAACGTACAAGGGCATAAAGGCAAGTCTAATTTGCTCACAGTCTGCTCCTATCTTATTCCACAAAAATAAGGTTTCATTTAAAGGCCAAATGGCAAAAACATAAAACCAAATGTTTAGCTAATTTAAACACATGGGAAAGTTAGAACCGCACTGAATATATTTAGACAATAACAGCAACCTTTACCCCATCTTCCTTCCCAAGAACACAGTGTATATTCCGAGGAATCCCAGTAAGATCTATAATTGGTACAACAATACGGCTTCATCTAAACACGGCAAAAAATAATGTCCAACACCTATAATTTTCCTGCTGTTCTGGAAGAGAGAGGAAAACAGTGACTTCAGGGCGTTGTAAGTGTCACGGATCTGGTCACTGAACCCAATGTGCCATTACTATGAAATTACAAGTAAATCAATTTAGCCTTCCCTGAACAAGCCTGGTGTTAAGTTCTGCTGTTTTGGGCAGGCATCCATCCAAAAAACGCCAGGCTTTGGGATTTCAGCAACGCTCTCTTCCCATCTGTATAACGTCTCAGTATAAAATGTTCCAGATACAGATCAGGCTGCACGTCAAGATCTCTCCCTCCCTCTTCAGCCCCCAACGTTTTATCAGGCGGAATGAGCAAGTAAA